ATGCTCTCTTATCTTTGTTTTATAGAAACTCAACTATACACTCTGAATAGATATTAATCTATGCTCACTAATCCATTACTCCAAAATTCTCTCTGAATCATTAAAAATAAACAAGCAAGCAAACAAACAAAAACAGAAAATCTGCAGCTTCTCTTGTGTAGATACTGCAGGTTTTTTTTCTCTACTTACTTTGTTAAGACTATTTGATAAGACTACTTTGAACTACGCTTTACAAAATTGTCTATGGCTGTGGGTAACTTCAATTCAGTGTTGATTCCTCATGGCTGTGTGGACTAGTCCCTGCCATTTCCTTGGCAACAATTCAGAAGTGGCTTGCCACTGCCTACTTCCTAGGGCTGAGAGAGAGTGACTGGTTCAAAGATAGTCAGCTGGTTTTATACCTAAAGCAGGACTGGAATTCACAGACTCTGAATGTTTATCATGGTGCTTTATCACTACACGAAACTGGTTCTATTCTCTCTCTCTCTCTCTCTCTCTCTCTCTCTCTCTCTCTCTCTCTCTCACACACACACACACACACACACACACACACAAACTTATTTTATTTTGTGCAACTTGTAAATTGTTGAAAACTTTTAATTTTTTTTTTACTATTATTATTTTTACTATTATTTTGGTTTTAACAACTTTTCACTGAGGATGGCACTGGATTCCATGTTACACTGCTGCACATCCCCCTTTGAAGCAAACTTTGGTATGTCATCACATTTCTATATTAAACAACAACAATGAAAACAGATCAATTTTGTTTTGAACTATCCATGAGCAATGTAGAGCAATGAATTACAAAATTTCTTGCTGCAATTCTCAGTTATTAGCTGGGAATCCTAATTACCTATCTAATTAATATTCCATTCTGTGAAGATTAATGAAGTGAATATTGAAAGCTCAAGAACACTATCAGACAATTTTGCCCTGTGTGGCAATGATTCTAAAATTCATATTCATCTTGTACTACAGACTTAGCCCGTTCTTAATGCTTGGTTTCACTGCAGATCAAGGGGCATTCTTGTTAAAATGTTACAGTAGTTAAGAAATTGAATTGCATGCTTGCCTAGCATGTTAAATTTAGTGAGTTAACCTTTTCCAAATATCTGGACATTAGAGACTCTAGAAAACTGCATAGATCAGAGTTTTTTTCCTGAATTTAGAAATGTCTAGTATTTAATGTTTTTCAAGCAGATGTAATTTACAGTATCACCACTACTTTTAGGAGACCAATCTCTAATGTTTTGGTCTCCATGTCTAGAATCTGTCTGTCTGTCTGTCTGTCTATTGAATTTATTTGCATTCCACCTTATAACAAAAATATTCTGGGTGATTTACAGCATTAATATATTAAAATCCTAACAAATATCTCTAAAGGAATAAAAATTAAAAACCCCAATCAAGATAAAATTATAGTTAAAAGATGGGGAGGGAAGGAACAGGATGCATGGGGGGGGGGAGGATGTGGGATTGTCTCTTAATTTATCAACCACCTGGAGTGTGATGGATCCCAAGCCATCCGGTAGAGTCAGATCTTCAGGCTTCTGTGGAGAGTCAGAAGGGTGGAAGCCAATCTTACTGCAGGGGATAAGCTGTTTCAAAGGGTAGGAATTATGACAAAGAATTCCTTTCTCCCACTAGCCAGATTTTCTTAATCAATAGGGACCACAGCATGCCTCCTGTGCCAGTGTGGGTGGAACAAGCCAGTCCCAGTGGGATGAGATGGTTCCTCAAGTAATCTGGAGCCATGCCATGCAGGGCTTTAAAGGTAAAAACCAACAACTTGAATTGCATCCGGAAGCAGACTGGCACACAATGCAGCTCATGGAAGAGTGATGTAATATTGACCATCTTTTCCAAAGCGCCTAAAGGCAGACAAGAAGCAATAGATGGAAACTAATCAAGGAGAGAAGCAACCTAGAACTAAGGAGAAACTTCCTGATGGTTAGAACAATTAACCAGTGGAACAATCTGCCTCCAGAAGCAGTGAATGCTCCAACACTGGAAGTTTTTAAGAAGAGACTGGACAGCCGTTTATCTGAAATGGTATAGGGTTTCCTGCCTGAGCAGGGGGTTGGACTAGATGACCTCCAAGATCCCTTCCAACTTTATTATTATTATTATTATTATTATTATCCTAAGGACCCAAAGAACTCCCCATGCCGCCACACTCTGCACCAGTTGAAGGTTCTGAATGCTCTTCAAGGATAGCCCCATGTACAGTGCAATGCAGTAGTCAGATGTAATATGATACATTTTGGATGAGACCTCTTCCATTCTGCACTTCAATGTCTAATTCTTTAATAACTTTCCTAGCCTCAGTGAAGAAGATATAGAGAGCCAAGGAAGAGGCCACAAGATAGAAGATATATACCTATTGCTTGAATCTCAAGAGGATTCAAATTCATCTGAAAAAAATAGATGGAATCAGCCCAGCTGGAAAATAATGGCATTTAAGCAAGTAATTAAAGATTAATAACCATGCTCTGACCTCAATTCTCATTTGACCAACTTCAAATCTCAGAATTGTATTAGATATACATTTTGGGGCTTGGAACGCTGCTCTAATGAACTTGGTTTGTACAATTTCCAACTGTGTGTAATTTGGATATGGGCCTTGCTGGGAGCAGCTGAGCCAGAGGTTTTGGCTGAGAATAATTTGAAAGCTATAAGGATACATTCTCCTCTTTTTGCATGGGAGAATCCTAAGATGGCTGAAAACCTTTTCTGAGCTTGTGCTACCACACTGATGATGCATTCCATGATACTGAATCTTAGAAGGCAACACTTAAATATTTGAAGCCCCTTAACTACTCAGTTTCCTGCCCTTCAATTAGCCAGTGAAGCTCCCTGAGGTTCTTTTTTTTAAAAGTGAAGATCATTATTTATTCTTAATTTCATCATATTTTCTTCAGGAGCTTGATGTAGAATTTATCCCATTTTCATTTTACAGTCACTGTACATTGCTAGTTGGAAAAATAAATTGGATTTCTCTCATCCAAGCCACATGGCTGCCTTCTTGGTTCTATGGATCAAGCCTAATGCTTTTCTTATAATATCATGGAGGAATTATTTTGCAAGAGATAAATAAGGAGAAATGGGGTCCTTCTCAGGACCAAGGGAACATAGAACAAGAAATGGAATGTTATTGCTGGTCTCTGATCTTGGTTGCTTTCTTGTAGATATTTCATTATCCAAACTAGGTAACATCAACAGTGCTAGCACTGATCACTAGCACTAACCTAATGATGTTACATAATTCAGAGATCACCAAAGACCCCTCATTTCAACCCTGAACTACAAATATTCTCATTTCAATGGAATGTTCATCAGTTTATTTTAAGTTATATACGGTATCAATTTCCTTTCTTGGTCATGCTTGGCTAGGAAAAGAAAGGGGAAAAAAAGTCATTCTGGCTTCTTGTTGCCAGCCTGATAAAACTCTTATGTGCTATTACAATAAAAGGATGCCAAAACTGGAAGCTGGCATGGAAAATGGCCCAATTTACATTGATTTCTCTAGAGTATAATTAATTCTTAAGTATCTCTCTTTAATTTAATCAAATATTAGTGAATCCTGAAACACCAGTGATGAAAAAATGCACAAAGTCTCATGCCGTAATACTCAAAAGGGTCAAGTACAATCCTGAACTCAAAGATAATCAGACAGATGGAAGGAAACCAAAGATAATAAAACAGCATTTCCTATTGAAGAGTAGCAATGTAGAACTTGCAAGGAAATAAATGAGCCAAAAATACATTGCAAGGGAACGAGAAAACTCCCTAGCCCATCGCAACTTCAACCATCCATATTGATACCAGATCAGATTTTATACTATTTTGCATTTTTTGTTGTTATTCTTGGCTCCAAATGAAGCAAACAGTGATTGACATGAGCTGAAATGCTCATTTCATTACAGAGTGAAAAAAAAATTCCATTCTGAAATAGTCTAAGCTAAGTGAGGCTCAGCTCACTATGGAGAAAGTAGCACACAGAATATCATTAGACTTGGAAGGGACCTTGGAGGTCTTCTAGCCCTACCCCCTGAACAAGCAGGAGACTATTCCATTTCAGACAAATGGCTGTCTAGTCTCTTCTTAAAAGCCTCCAGTGATGGAATATCCACGTCTTCTGAAGACAAGCTGTTCTACTGGTTGATTGTTCTCACTGTCAAGAAATTACTCCTTAGTTCTAGGTTGGTTCTTTCCTTGTTTAGTTTCCATCCATTGTTTCTTGTCTAGCCTTCTGGTACTTTGGAAAAAAAGTTGAGTCCCTCTTCTTTGTGGCAGCCTCTCAAATATTGGAACACTGTTATTATGTGACACATAGTCCTTCTTTTCACTAGACTAGATTTACCCAATTCCTGCAAGTGTTCTTCATATGTTTTAGTCTCCAGCCTCCTACTCAACTTTGTTGCTCTTCTCTGCACTCTTTCCAGAGTCTCAACATCTTTTAAATATTTTTATTATATACTGTATGTATATGTACTGTATATCTGTTTGATGAAACTGTTAGAAACAATGGTCTTTCAAAATGTATCTTTAGTACTTTTTGCAACAATGTTGCATTCCTTGCATTAGTTTCATTGATTTTTACTCTTGGCTGCCTCTAATTGCTGTAAATCAGATTGATCAAACAGCAGAACATGATTATCCCATTCACAGTATGATCTCTGTGTGTCTCATGTAAGGAAGATGAAGAAACATAAGCACCAAGGGGTAGACTAATGTGGGGTCATTAAAAAGAAAAAAGGAAACAGCTGGCTATCACATAGACACATACTGGTAATACATAAAATTAATATGCTCTCATTGTAGGATCTCAGACTGTGCAGCATCAGTTATATGATTGTAATATAAATTGTTGCCTTTGTTTCCTTTATTATATTTTGCCCTACTTATGGTTCATAAATACTGATTCGTTTTCCAAAATTGAATGTTGACATAGCTATTGCAGTTCTAACATACATATTTATAACATATTACTTTACCTTCATAATATACTTTAAATCCATGAGCACTCACTGCAAAGTCACTGGTTAATCGTAATGAAAATACAGATTTTGTGGAGGTCACAGGTGGAGGAAGATGAAATCCTGTTAACCTGAAAGCAAGCAAACAAACAAATCCTGATTATTACTTTAATTTATCATTTTGCACTCAGATAAAGTAAGCTGGAGTCCGCCTGAAATAATTCTGAGGTTATTTTCTCTGTCATGTTGCTTAAGGAAGGGCATGCCCTCTTCAAAACCCATTAAGATCAATGCATAAGATGAAACTCCACAAAACCTTAGGGTACAATTAAGTAATTTCCACCAAAAGCTGGAATTTATCTTAAAGCGTCAGAGCGGCCAAACAACTCGGGTTAAAAATTAATTTTAGCCAATGACTAACATATATAATTTGCACTCAAGATTTATTTTATACCATTCCAGCCTGAAGGATGGAATTTAGAAGATCTTATGAAACCAAAATATATATCCCTTACAAATCCTGGTTGAATAGGATCTAACAGCTATGCTCCAGTTTTCTCGTTTCCTGGTATTCAGGATGCTTCTTATAAGCGCTATGTGCTTAGAGCTCAAAGCATTGTTAGAGACCCCACACACCCACTTTATGGTCTGTTTTTGTTGCTCCCCTCTGAGAGGAGGTTTTGAAGTATTTCTAGCAGGACTACCCAATTCTGTAATAGCTTTGTTCTCTATGCCATCCGTCTGGTAAACTCGCAACATTGTATACATGCACATGTATACATAACCCAAACTAGACTATTGTTTCTCTGTGTCATATAATATATGTGGTTATATGCATAATTCAGTATTTATTTATTTATTTTTGTCATATTTATGTATTGTATATTGGAGGTGGCGATCCTCTCACAGCTGAATGCAACAAAATTTTATTTTAATGTATGCCCGTTAGTGTACATTTAAAGTGACAATAAAATTCTTATTCTATTCTTATTCTATTCTAATGTATTAATAGTGCCAGAACAAATATTTATCTTAATCTAAACATTAATATTTTTTTTTCCTTCCTGAAAGGTAAGGTATTGAGAGAAGACTTTTGCTTTCCTTTTGATATATGCAGCACTAAAAAGGAGACATATTATCAAGCCAAGCCCAAAAACACATAGTGAAATCAAATTGAACCTAACCCTTTATTTGTTTACATCTAATGGTCAGAATCTTGCTAATCTAAAGCTATAGCTTTACTTCTAATTCTACTTGATAGATCCTGAGAGATTCTAGGGTGTAACTACTCTGAACCTCTTCTCTGTTCCCAACCATTTTAGGAATATACAGTCTTTCAATCTGCTAGAATTGGGTATGTCTAGTTTAACGAAGAGAAGGACAAGGGGGGACATGATAGCAGTGTTCCAATATCTCAGGGGCTGCCACAAAGAAGAAGGAGTCAAGCTATTTTCCAAAGCACCTGAAGGTAGGACAAGAAGCAAAGGATGGAAACTAATTAAGGACAGAAGCAACCTAGAACTAAGGAGAAACTTCCTGACAGTGAGAACAATTAATCAATGGAACAGCCTGCCTCCAGAAGCAGTAAATGCTCCAACACTGGAAGTTTTTAAGAAGAGACTGGACAGCCATTTGTCCAAAATGGTGTAGGGTTTCCTGCCTGAGCAGGGGGTTGGACTAGATGACCTCCAAGGTCCCTTCCAACTTTACTACTATTACTATTACTTTTCTCTGGGATATATTGCCACCTCCCTGGGAAACTGTGGTGCTGCCAACATCCCTTCCACTGCTTCTCCAGGTAAACATTCCACCACACATAGTGAGTATCTCCAGCTCATTAAATCTGCTTTCCAATTTTTTTTTGAATGTAGTACTTATATCTTTTCAGATTGTGCTGTGAAGAATATACATTATAAGCAAGGGCTTTTCTTCTTATCCACGCCACTCCTCCTACTTGTACATGGATAACAAATAATTTTACATGCTAGGTATGCATATGGCAATTTATCATGAATTTGTCAGAGGAAAAGCCATCTTTGTGAAGTTTTATTGGGCTTTCCCAAGTGTATTTGAAATAGAGGACAGGAAAATAGTGGCTACCAGGAAAGCCATCTTGTATTCTGAAAAAAATATATGACCGTACTACTTCCTATGTCATAAAATTATTCCGGATGATTTGCTTCATGAGTTAAATGTAATAAAAGTTATATTTCCATCTGTTCTGCATTTTATCCAATACCCCTGACTTGTTTTAGTTTTAGCATTGACTGACGAACTGGTTCATACAAAGTAATAATCATTTTTTTGCAACAGCTTCTATTCAAACTAGATATAATGGAAATTAAGTAGCCATAATTCAAAATTAAAAGAGAAAGAAATGCCGATATTTGGCAATCAGAGACAAAGTTTTCTCTGTGCTAAACAGCAAAGTCACATTTAGTGAGTTAAATATATTTTATTTTTAGCTCCATTTTTTAAACTTCATATTAAATGTTAAACTTAAACATTTTATCTTCCAGGCCTAGAACTTCAGTTAATTTTTTTTCAAAGGCATTCCCTAATCGTTACCTTATATATGAGATCAGTGTGGTACAATATTTCTCTTCCTAGACTGGAGACCGAGATTCAAATCCACAGAAACTGACTTAGTAACGTTGAGCTAGTTCCTGTCCTCAGCCAAATTTATCTTATAGGGTAGCTGTGGAAAGGGTAATCCCATATAAATAGAATAGGATTTTAACAGAATAACAGAACAGAATAATAGAGTTGGGAGGGATCTTGGAGGTCTTCTAGTCCAACCCCCGTTCAAGGAGGAGACCCTATATCATTTCAGACAAATGGCTGCCAATATCTGCCTAAAAGCTCCAATGATGGAGCACCCACAACTTCTGGAGGAAAGCCATTCCACTGATTAATTATTTTCACTGTCACAAAATTTCTCCTTAGTTCAGGAAATTTCTCCTTAGTTCTAGGATGAATCTCTCTTTTATACATTTCTAGCTATTACTTCTTGCCCTGTCCTCAGATGCTTTAGAGAATAGGTTGACCCCCCTTCTTTGTGGAAGCCCCTCAAATATTTGGAACACTTCTATCACGTCACCCCTAGTCCTTCTTTTCCTTCGGCTTGGCATGTTCAATTCCTGTAACCTTTCTTCATATGTTTCAGTCTCCAGTTCCTTAATCATCTTTCAATTATGGTTCAGTTATGTTTCTCTTACTGACCAGTGTAAAAAATAAAAAGAAGTAGAGCAAAGTATATAGATACATCTAGTCAAATTAATAACTATTTTTTTCTAAAATAAAATAAAAATATAAATGGGGAGGTAGGAAGAAGGGTGCATTTTTAGCACAGCAATGAACATGTCTTCAGAGTATTTGGATCACATATATTCTGTTTGATGTCTACCAACATGGCTGGCTGGAGAATTTTAGAAGTTGAAATCCATACATCATAAAGTTGTCAAATTTAAGAAGCACCAATAAAGTCTTCCTGTGCCACTGCTGAGTTGGACAACATAATTAAAATAAATAAATCAAAATAACACCACTTTTGACAATGCATATGAATGAACACAAATGGAAACAACATGAGATTTATATTCTCTATAATGACACTCCAATATCATTATGTAGATTTGCATCTGTTGGAATTTTGGGTAATCTTTCAAAAGCAGCTTCAGTTAATAGAAATAGCTACTTAGACTTATTTACTGCCCCATATTGCTTTACAGCACTCTCTGAATGGTTTACATTGTCAGCATATTTCCCCCAACAATCTGGATCCTCATTTTATCAATTTCAGAAGGATGGAAGGCTGAGTCAACCTTCAGCCCTATCAGGATCAATCTCTAGGATGTAGGCAGAGTTTGCCTGCAATACTGCAGTTTAATCATTCCTCCACCACAATACAATAATACATTTTAGAAATGATATTTTGCATATTATATAGACAAAGATAGTCAAATTTTGGAGTTCACTATTTAAGACTATGCAAGATATTGGATAGTTCAGTGGTTCTCAACTTTTCTTCACCATGAACCCCTTTGAATACCTTTTGTGGGCATGGATTATGGCCACAACCCACAAGATTTAGTCCACAATTTAAATTGTAACATTTCTTCAAGCCTTTGTGGACCTCCTGTGATGATATTGCAGCCCCCCCCCCAAGGATTTGCAGACCACGGGTTGAGAACCATTCATATAGTTTGAATGATTCAATGTTCTATTTTTAACTGTTGAATTGCCTTAATTGGGGTAATTTTCCTATTTTAATTGATTTTTCCCCTGATTTTATCCCTCCCCCATGAGTTTCTTTCTATATAAGTATATTCAGATACTACCAAGAGAAAAAAGTGTGTTCAAATTCACTATCATCAATACTTCATCCGTATGGGAAAACACACTAGATTAACACAATTTTGTGTATGCTTACAAAGCTTTAAAATGATAAAATAAGTTTCTGCACTTGAAGAAAATTACCCAGCATGTATGGCAAATAAATCCATGAATGGTAGGTTTGGAGGGAGATTATTACTTTTAATGAGCTTTTTAGATGAGTGTGCATTTAAAGAACTACTTAACAATTTTCATTCTGAAATGGTACAGCAGCTGTCAGCCACATGGTGTCCTCTAGCTGTGTCTAAATCTGAGAATCTAAGAAATCTGGAATGCCTCACTAATTTGGGTACGGCTGAGATTGATGATCTTTTTTTTGTTCTTTATAAATACAAAATCAATATTAGTTTGGGTTCTCACATTCATTAAAGTTCCAACAATTCTTTTTTTCCCCTAGAAATCATTTTTTTTAAGAGCCAAATACTAACACGATAGATTTGCTAAAGTTTGCCAATAGAGGTTTTATTCATAGTCATTTTGAAAGCTTCACTACCATTTTCTGCTCATCTAAAGGGTAAATGGAACAGTCATGCAGAGTCAGCATGAAATGCTGAACTGGCTTGGTGAACATTAAAAAGAAGAGAAATGGGAACCACAGGAAAATCTTCATAAGTTCTCTGCATGTTTCATCATATTTGAGCATGACAGAAGCTGGTGGCCTCTTTTGAGGAAAAAAGCTAATCTTTTTTACTCAGAAACTTCCAGTTTTGTAAAGAACTCTAAGATAAAATGGGTT